CTACAGTAACTCAGGGGGCATAAAATGTCCTTTTCTCTTGAGTAAGTGTCCACAGATGACCTCCGTTGACCCCCTCAGACGTATCACCAGGAGCTGCTCCTCAGCCGGCTCCTCTTCCTTTCCTGACTCCTCATGCTTCAGAGCTGCACTGTTGTTTTCCTCGTATTAAAATGTCTGTGTGGGGCCGACCCTGTGGCTCAACTCGGGAGAGTGCGGCGCTGGGAGCGCTGAGGCCGCGGGTTCAGATCCTATATAGGGATGGCCGGTGCGTTCACTGGCTGAGCGCAGTGAGGGTGACACCAAGCCAAGGGTTACGATCCCCTTACTGGTCACAAAATAAATAAATAAATAAATAAAATAAAAATAAAAATAAAAATGTCTGTGTGCATTGTCTTCAGGCCTGAACAGGCTAGAACCACATGCTGGCCTGAGGCTACAACTCTTACTAAAATGTCACACAAGTTGCAGAACCATGGAATCCTGTCCTGGTCATTCAGCATATTGCTTTTCCCACCGTCATTTGATTTTTCCTCAGGGTGATAGTCACCTGCATCATGGAATTTCCATCCTAGAGGCCGGCCCAGAAAGAAAATCTTCCAGGCTCAGGCCTTAGATGGTATAAGACTGGCTTCAGATGCTATTTAGCTCTGGTAGGGGGAACAGATACCAAGAAAAACAAGCTACCACTCTGGCTTTCCAATATCTCACCTTCTTGTTCCTCCAGGTTTGGAGTCCAGGGTTTTTTTCTACTTCGTTTCTGCTAGACTCTAGAGCTCTCTGAAGAATGATACACAAGTTTCAAGTCTGAAAAAAATTTCCCCATTTGATCTAAATTGTTTTACATCTGTAACGCTTTTCCAAAACGTTGAGGATGAATTTATTCTTTCCTGGTTCAGCATTGACGGCTTCTTTTCTCTTTTAGTACTTTTTCTTCATCTATTCTGTTTTGGGGATTGAGACTTTAAAATACTTACCCTTGGAGCTTTTTCCTCCTTGGAAGGCCTAGTTAATCTTCTGCTTCACTAGTTTTATTTTCTGCTTTATTTTATATTTTACTTTCTGCTCTCTTGACTGCTTTCATTCGAGTTTGTAATTCAGATTTTCTTTTCTCTGGTTAATGCAAAACTCTTTACTGATCTCATATTTCTTTCCATGACACCCTGCTCTGTGTTCAAAGATGCTGCTGTGTCCTCAGGAATTTCAAGAACATGAACTAGAAGTTTTGTCTTTTATAAAGCATTCCCTTTTCTCTTTTATGGAATATTCCCTTTCCTTATGTGCCCATATTCTCTTTTCAGGCAACTCTTTGTATTCTGAATATTGAAACTATTTTAATGTTATATTGCTTAACAACGTAGCTTGGCTGAAATGATATTGGACCCAAGCATACAGTATAAATATTTCTTAAGTAAATATTTGTCTGATTCTAGAATATTCCCTCTTTTTTAACCATATGTTTCATTTGCTTGGTGGATTTGGATTTTTGTCTGTTGCTTATGCTTAGAGAGGGAAGCCTATAGATATTCAGGATTGGGTATTGCCCTGTGTTCTTTCAAGAGACTTCTGTGAGTCACAGTTTGATGCAAGTCCAAGTGAAGGAAAAGGTTAGATTTGTAGTAGATTAATTTACCAATTAGAAATTCATCTTCCTGTGAGGCCTGGGGAGGGAGCCAGGAAGCAGCTCCACAAGTAATCAAAGGGAGCTTTGCCTCAAACCAAAGACTTTCTTTTAGGTATTTGGTGTGGCACTCAATAATTAGCAAGGTCATTGTCACTTGGCATGGCTGCCCTCCTCAGAAGCCAGCTGGTAGTATTTTTTTTTTTTTCTTCCCACATGTTTTCTGGGGCAGTCATCATGGCCACATGTAAATCAGAAGTAAATGCAGCCAGAGATTACTTGCTGGGCTAGCCTCTGGAGCCAGGAACCCTTTTAAAGGAGTTAGTGTATTTTAAAGGTACCGCAGCTCTCCCCTGACTTAGTTCTTTCCGGCCCTCATCCTTCTGAACTAGGGGTTCATTATGGGTTTATTGGGTTCTCATTTGCTTATTTTCTGTCCATACAGTTGCAGTTTCACGTGAAAGGAGTGTTATATCTTAGTCCTTTTGTCAGCCTCCCATGTTAATTCTTTCCAGTACATATTTTTGGAAGTTTAAGCAATAGTTGGGGTCCAGCTGTAGTTTCTAGGGCTAATTCAGGATATTTCCTATTCTTATAATGTATTGGTCATTTCTTTGGTATCTGGCACAAAGGAATGAGCCTTTGTAGCTTTCTTATTTGGAAATTGTATTTTATGCAATTTGAATTGTAGGGGGAAATATTGAGGTGATTCTTTAGGGGAATGGATGAACGGTTCAGTAAATAAATAGATGGCAATGCTCATCTTTTGCAAGTGAGAGGCATTAGAGGTAGTTTTATGGTTTTGAGAAGAGCAATGTAGATTAGAAGAGATGCCTAGGAGAATGGAAAATGGGGACAATTGGGGAAGAAGAGAAAGGGCAACGGCAGTGACCCAAGGGCATTCGGAGAGTCTGATGTTGGTGGGACAAACCCATACTGCCTTGTGGTTTTCTGTGGCTGGGACACAGCTTTGGAGCTCAAGCAAAGGAGATGGAGAATGAGGTGCTGATAACAGGTTGGAAGAATCACAGGACAGTCATCCAAGTACCTGGAAGAGTTTGGAGGGGTGCATTTCTTTAAAAATTCTTGTGCAACTCTGTAGTTGACAGTCTGGGCTCTGCAGTGGGCTAGTATGTCAGAGTGAACCAGCTTATTCTGCTGGAGACTGAATGGCATAATTAGTTAGGATATTGACTTTTTTTGTCATCTTGTCCAGTTCTCCCATGATTTGTACAGTTTTGTAGGTAAGTTGGGAAGTATCCAAGAGAGCTTATTTATACCTTTCAAATAATGTTGTTGAGCCCTTGTATTTGGTAGAGTTAAGTAACCACATGCTGTTTTATAAAGCATTCTTATAATGTGTGAAGAGGTTCAACGAAAAGCTTAAAACTAGATATGTCCTGAATGCTTTGGGGGAGGTAGTTAATTTTCTGTCTTATTTTCTTCTTGAAAATATGAAACTAACAGTCTGTCTTATTTATTAGGCATCTCAAGGATATGAAACAAACAAAATGAGGGGACATGCTACTAAATTTTATATAGATGAGAGCAGCACGGGATTCTCCGTCTCATGATTACTCTGCAAGTCATTTGACTTTCATCACGTTTTCTTTAGATCTATCTGACATTTTTGCTTGAAGATTCCATGGACTTCGCATCTTTTCTTAATTCTTGTTCACTTGGAGTGTTGGTCTTTAGAAAGAGCATGGGCCCTGGAGTCAGTCCTGGTTTGGGGCTCAGCTCTCTCATTTCCTGGCTGTGTGGCTTTGGGTATGTTGCAAAGCCTTGGGTGTCTCTATGAAATGAGTTAAAAATATCTGCCTCAAACTGTATGTCACATGACTGCTCCAGAGCTTGGCATCTAGTGGGCTTTCATTAAATCCCAGTCTCCTATCTTCCCCCCTCCTGTTGTTAGCAATGATGCTATATGACATATTTGTTTTGTGGGTCACATCTGTTTTCTGTATCCCCTTTCTTGCTTCAAGCTAGGTGCCTATATTTACCTTTCAGGCAACTCTCTGTATTCTAAATATGGAAAATATCTTAAGGTTATATTGCTTAATGACTTAGACTGGCTAAAGTGATTTTGGGCCGCAGCATACATTAAGAATGGAATCTTGCTTGTCTGCTTTTTTTGTTGTTTGTTTATCACGCTATTGATATATTTATCTGTATATCTCACATAGAATAGAGCAAGATAATTTGAATTATAAATACATAAGAACAAAAGAGGAACAATAAAATTAGGGGCAGGCACAAAATGATGCCAGAAATAAGTTCAGTATAAAACAGGCACTTATGGGGTCCTATAATATTTTGGTGGGTAGGCTTGGCACTCTCATAGCCACCATGAAAAAGGAAAGGCATTTACATATACAGATACCTTTTTCCTGGGAAATTTACTTAAATTCATAGTGTTATAAACAATAGGTCTTCTTTTCCTCCAAAAACTGGGACTAAGGAGAGCATCAGTATTGTCTCAGGGCAGCTATGAGAGTCTGTGTTCAATGTCATGCAAAGGTAGCTTGAGAACTTTGCTACTTATTAATAAAAATAATCACTCTAACAGAGAGGAAGAAAATAGGAAGCTTCCACAGTTCTAAACAATTAAACCCTAAAGTGATGGAAACTATAGTGTAAAGTATAATACACAAAGACAGAATAAAAATTAAAACTTCATAGAAGTTGCTGCTAAACCTAGATCATATCTTAGAGAAGCAGCTCTTCTGAACTTGTGTCTTGCCCAGCATCGCTGAGCTAATATGAAGGAGCGCCAGAGGATTTGGGGTCAAGGGACTTAGATTAAGTTTCCAACTCCACCACTTCTAGTGCACAAGACTTGGATCTTGTCATCTCTGGTCCATTACTTTTACCGTTATGAAAAGTATCATTTTCGAACAATTTAAAAGTGTCAGGTATCATCTTGCATGTTGATGAAACTAGAAAGTATATTTACAGACAAAAGCTTTCTGAAGACAGGAGCTTGCTCAGTCTTATTCATTATGCCTCTAGTTCCCTACAGATGCCCAACAACTATCTTTTGAATAAAAGAAGATATTGTTAGATGGTATGAAAACCATCTAAAAGTGAAGCTTTTTTTAAATGAAAGAATTTTTAAAAATTATTTTCTTAAAATGAAAAATTTTCCCGTTCTGGCCTAAATTGCAATGTAGAAATGATCAGTCTTTCCCATGCTTTACTGCAGGGAGTTTAGCCTCTTTCTGAGTTTTCTTAATGAACATATTAATGAGAGAAGATTTGGTTATACTTTGTGCGTATTTGGTATTTAACATACAGGATTTTTGCTTTCTCTGGTCAGTGGTACTTCACTCCGTGTGCTAGTCCTCTTATGCTAAATGTGGGTTTTCCTGTCCTTTTCCAGGGACACAGTTTCTCCTAGCATGACTGTGATCTGACGAGCAATCACAAGAGTTTGACTCCTGTGTCTGGCACCGTAGTGCTGGGGCGTGATCACCGCCTGTCACTAGAGCTGCCATGGCTGCTGCCTCTACTTCCACCCCTGCAATTTCACAGCCCCAGGTAAGTGATTCACACTAGCATAGGTTTGGCCTAATTATGGTTTTGTTGAATATTTAAACTGAATTTCAGAAAGTGGTTTCACTCTAGGGATCTTGTATGTCTCTCTCATTATCATTTGGTGGGTATTTGGATAATGGTGCTTTTGTGAGTAACATGCCATTTAGTTCAGGAAGCAGCTAGAACAATGAACAAGTGACTTTAGTGAACTGGCCTCTGTTCATAGGGTCTTGGTTTTCAGTGCTTAGAATGCTGGCTTAGGCATCAAACTCCAAATCAAGATAAGTCAGTAGTAAATCCTGCTGCTTTCCCTCCCTTGGCTTTTTTGCGGGGTTTAATGATATATCCAAGAACTGACCTAGTCTTATAACTTTCTGAGTGATGTCTCATTGTCCTCCTCCTATAATTATTATTTTGCCTTGACCTGTTCTAGGAACTTTGAAAACAAATGCAATTCCAGAAACTTCTGAAAGCAGTCATACATATGAGTTACTTTTCCTGTGCAATGAAGAGCAGTAAGATGGTGGGGACGTTGTCTATATTCACATCATTTTACAACCTGATTTTTTCTAGTGTTCACTGGACTCTTGGAGTTTCGGCAGGCAGCATGGTACAACGGGGGAACAGACTTTGGAGTCATTAGGCGTCAATTCACACATCCCTGCCTCCTCTGATGGTTGGATAAAGAGCCTTAGTCATGCTAACCTCTCTCAGCTTCAGTTTCCTCTCATGTAATCTAGCCTCATGCTATGATTATATGGGCTAAATGATAGAATATGTGTAAAGCACACAGTAGGTGTTCAACAAGTGTACTTTCCCATTTTTCTTCCTTTATCTTCTCCTCCTCTTTCTGGAGTGTGACCGCCCATTTCATTTATGATGATAATTTTTAGGCCAAAGTTAAGGAAAAAGATGATTCTTTGAGAAAGAACCATATTGATGGAAATTTGAATCTTGATGATACAAAATGTTGTTCCACCCTTTTATTTTCTGTATCCTTTTGCAGGCTATTACCTTTTGCATGTATTTCAAGTAGGAGTGTCTGTGTTTGTGAAAAGGGAGAGAAGAAAGAAAGGAAGAAAGCAGAAAGGGGCATTTTTACTTACTATTATAAATGGTTTTTTCCTCTCTCTAAAAGACCTTGGGATTTAATCATATGAATAAAGTCCTTGCTGTTCTTTAAAGCTTCTAGTGCTATTTTCCAGGATGTTTAGTGTTACTTCCATTGTAAATATTTCTCTTTCTGGTGAATGGCCCATAGCCCTTTCAGCACTTCATTTACTTTGGGTGTTTGGTTTCTCTTACCTTCAGTAGCTTTTTGGTGCCAGAGAGACTTGGAGAATGAGTAAAGAGATTTAGTGCCTGTTACCTGAGGTCACCATTTCAAAGTCCACTGCAGCTGTTCCCATGTAATGACTATTCTTAGTCTTTTGTGAAGTGAGTTAGGCCCTAGTGCAGGTTTTCTGGACAAGGCATTTCTGCATCCTAGTGTCGCTGCTGTCATTTGTCAGCATTGCCAACAGCATCAACTTACCTACCCATCTTCCCTGTTACACAAGCTACCATTAGCTGGTGAGTAATAAACATACTTTTAAATGACTCATTTAATTAAAATGTTTAATGCCACCCAAGGTAAAAAGAGGTTATATTTAAGATAAACACTTTGGGAGAAGTGTACTTTAGTAAATTCTCTGTGGGAAGGTAAATTGGTACAGTCACTTTGTAGGGTAATTTAATAGTGTCTATTAAAATTATATACCTTTGCACATAACCTCCCATCTTGGTATCTGCATTAGAAAAAACACTCATACATGAGTCCAAAAAAGAGTGTATACAGACATTCATTGATGCATTGGTTGAAGACCAAGAAGTACAAAACTTTCTGAATATCTAATAGTGGAAAGTCTTAATAAATTCAGGTATGTGGACACAATCAAAATACCATGCAGCAGTTAAAAAATGAGGATATCAATGCAGCTGTGTTTCCCCAAGATATCTTATGGAGGGAAAAGAAAGCAAGATGCAGAATAATACTTTCCAAAAGATATCATTAAAACTGTAAAAGAAGACCATGTGAATTTAGAGACAAGCATATGGTACATTAACGTGAGTGCATAGGGGAAAGGTGTAGACCATATTTTCTCAGCTGAAGGTGACTGCCCCAAGAGGGCAAACATTGGATCTTGGGAGAGCAAAAAATCCCTCCAAAGCTTAACCTACCCCCCCCTAATCTTATTCCTTAGTATTTACTTTTTTTCCTTAGGGAAAATTTAAACTTAATTAAAATTTTCCTCTGAGGGTCACAAACAACAACAAAAAGGTTAAGAAACACTGGTTTCCTTCTCTAGTTACACTGCCTGAGTTGACATCTGGCTCCAGCATTTACTAACTGAGCGGAGAGGGAGGTCTTCACACTCTCAGTGTCTCCATTTCCTCACCTGCAAAATGAGCACAGCAGTAATGAAGACAACGTGCCAGGGTTGTTTTAAGGGTAAAATGAAATAGTATGTATAAAACTTCATACAGTGTATGGCATATATTGCCCCATCCATGTTAGCAAGCATTATTATTATGGTTCAGCAAGCATTGTGGCAGGCCTGGGGATACAAGAATAAATAAGATTAATAAGGCTTTTTCCCTGCCAGAGTTTAGAAGTGTAGTAGAGATGTACAGAAAAGAAAAACAAAAAATTACAACACTGTGTCACAGATGCTGATACAGGAAGTATCAATGTGCTAAGAGTAAAGGAGAGACTTCACCCAGAAAAGTCTTGGAAGATCAGGGCCTTTCACACTTGAATGTGGGTTTATCTTTATGCAGGTCCTCACAGATGCTGATACAGGAAGTATCAATGTGCTAAGAGTAAAGGAGAGACTTCACCCGGAAAAGTCTTGGAAGATCAGGGCCTTTCACACTTGAATGTGGGTTTATCTTTATGCAGGTCCTTGAATTCACTCTGAAAGAATGCAAGTTCACGTGCCAGACAATACCAGGATAAATAGATTGAGTAAACTGCTTATTACACTTTGCCTAAGGAGATGCTGTATTTAAATTTTTTTGTCTTCTCTGAACCTGGGGAAAACTGATAATAAGAGAGAAAACATCAGTATGGGTCTTCTTGAGGGAAGACCACCAGGCTAGGAATGAGTGAATGAGTACAAATTATTTGGGTAAGGTAGAAGAAAGAGCTTGTGTGAAAGTTAAGTGTCCCAAAGTGAGAGAACACAGCATTTAGAATCAAGTTGAGGGTAGCTGCAGTACTGTGGGGCATGGTGTTGTAACACTGAAGTCCCTAGAGCCACCTCTGTCAGCTTGCAAGGGCAAGTTAAATTTTCAGGAGTTTTGTGGGCCCATTGACTTCATGCTGGTAGCTTGAGATCAGCCCTGGTAGAGTATTTACACTACAGAAATTGGCAAACACTGGAAAGCAGTGTAGATGGGTTAGGTTATAAAGTTGGAGATTTTGTAGACCTTGCAAGCCATATTAAGGAGTTTAACTTTGATCTTAAGGAAACCCGTGTAGTATAGTGATTACACAGATTTTAGAGTCTTAGACCTGGGTGTAAGCCCAGACTTTTGAGATTCTGTTGAGCACGTTTGTGAGTTAATCTTGTCCAGCATAGTTGAGTCCCATTGTTCTCACATATGTTGGGAACAGTGGTAGCCTCTGATAGTTGGGGAACTAAGCCCGCTTGGAAGGAGTCAGCTATAAACCTGGGTGTTAGGTCACAGCGAGAGGTAGTGTACTCTACTAGAGAGACGTAGACCATTGGGTCATTTAGTTCCCAGGATCCTGTGGCCAATGACGAGCCTCCTGATTATATGTCAACTCTTCACTTGTAATTTGTACAGTCAAGTTTTAGTCCAAGGCTGTCTCGCCCTTGTCCCCAGCCTGTATTGATGTTTTCTGCCTTACTATCAGTTTTCCCCAGGTTCAGAGAAGGCAAAAGTAATTTAAGTATGGCATCTCCTTAGGCAAGTGTTATAAGCAATTCACTCAATCATTTAGTCTGGTATTGTCTGGCACATCAACTTGCATTCTTTTAGAGTGAATTCAGGGACCTGTGTAAAGATAAACCCACATTCAAGTGTGAAAGTTCTGAAAATCCTTTTCTAAGGCAAAAACAACAATTAAAAAAAAAAGTTTTTGGTTTTGTTTGTTACTCTATTCATTTGGTAACAAAGAGCATTTTTTCTAATCAAGGCTGCCTAATACTAGATATAAACTAATTAATATGGACAAATAGCTTGTGATTGTTTCACATAATAATAGGGAAGAAAGCTTTCATTGTCACTCCTGCTGGGATTGCTGTTTAGTTAGTGAAAGATATGCCTTGTGCTTTGAAGTAGGACGAGTTTGTATTCTCTGCTTCACTCCTGCCTGGACTGTAAGACAGAGTTTTTTGTTTTCTTATGCTGAGAAAGCTCCTAGTTCTTACAAAGCTAGGTGAATACCAAGGCGAAACTGGACTAGCAGCAGCAGACTCTGTTTGTAGATGATTTATAGTTCTGCTAGTCCCGACGCTGATAAAGAGCTTCCTTATCCAAAGGAAGCTTAAAGATGTATTTGCAGACAGGAACCTGTTCATCATTAGGTTGAGTTAATGTGTTCATGCCCCGTGGATATTGAGGGGTGGAGGCTGGGGTAGGAAACCAAAAAAACTTGCCACTCTCAATAGCTATTTTGTTTCTAGGACAGTTAAGCATTACTTTAATTGTGTTTGATCAGGTTACTGTGGGTAGAATTTGGATTAAAAGTTTTATTTTCATTTTTAATGGAAGGGTCAAAGTTCAACACCTGAATGAGTTGTGTAGCTTCTCTTAAACCCAGGACTGTATTAGAGACCAGATCAGGTGTCTGAGAACTTATAAGGTATTCAATTCTCACACCTGTGATTCCAGTAAGGAAGGACTCCTTTTCATCAGTGTTTTGCAAGGTGTTTCATTCTGCCTGTCATTTGCTAAGTGACCATTTTGGTTTGAAGCCAAGGACACAAAGATAT